TAGCTGTAATAAACAATTTGCAAAGTTGCATAGCAAAGTGTTACAGATCCATTTTGAAAACACCTACATCTAAACTATGAATCAAACAAATGAAATGAAAACATTAAAATGAAAACATTGTTATATAAGTAAAAGTTGTATAATTATTGTATTGTATAATTATATACAGTGATGCATTTTGTTACCATGTACAATTACTACAATGCCATTTTAATTAAAATTAGTTCCTCAAGTAATTAAAAAGTGTCATAATTTACTCACCCATGTGGTTACAAACTATCTGATGAAATAAAGTCAGAGGGACTGCTTTTTTTCTTTGCATGATTGTGTTTATGGGGTGACTTTTTAAAAAAGTCTTATTTTTCATAAACTGCACCTTTATTGTAAGCCGTGCTCTCCTCTGTCCTCGAACGAGCGGTTGACTTCCTGATTCTATGAAACCACTCCCTCAGAAACAGGCAGTGGGCTCAGATTGTTTAGTTTGGGCCGGTGTGTTGTGATTGGCTAAACTGTCGCTCACGTTGTCCGGAAGGCTAACGCCCATTACCTTTACGAGCGAAACGGGCATGCCAAAGGTGGATACCATAGCCGGTGGATACACGTAAATAATGATGTCGAGACTACAGTATCAGTGAGGCAGAATTAGACCGAGAAAGCGGCGATGAAGAGAGTCAAACAGAACCTCACTACACACGGTTCTTAGTAAATGTTTCTGAATGATAATTTTTCACATTTTTTTTAACAATATACACGTTTGTTTTACACAATAGCATCTGTCTGGCAACAATAGCAACTGACTGGCTACTAATGTTAAACACAAACAGCGTTGGCAAGTTTACGTTCTTGATCAAATCGAAAATAACGTCATGAAGCATATATACATGAAAAAAAAACATTTACAACATTAGTACTTATACAAATTACAGGTCCATAATGTTTGTACACGTTTGTCGTAGACACAAAATAGCATAAAAATAGCAAAAAGGCCAGCGCTGGCATTGGAAAAAAAAAAAAATTATACATGCAAATACATCTAAAATGATGAAGTCTTAACCTATTTACAGGTTGTGGCGCAACAACTGCTGCCTCTGGTTTTAAAGTTGGAACTGCTTCATGTCTTAGTAACAGTTTCTTGTTGAATCCGGTGTTGAATTCGTGGAGATTCTGGAAGCTGTCTTCCGTAAAATGCGCAGCACAGAGAGCTAGATTACGATCGTCACTTTCAGGAACATAATCAAACATAAATTGTATCCATTGTTGACGAAGTAGAGCGTCCGTGTGAAGCTCGAACACAGAAGACCTGACAGCTGGGTGAACATAACACACTCGACGTGCCGCAGAAATATGCGCATGCCCTTTCCTGCATATTCCGGAGGGAGGGGTTGATGCGAATTTGTGGGTTAGTGACGTGTAAAACCCAGCTGTAGTCCCGAGTCGTTATCGAGTAATTTTTGTAATTGAGTCGTTTTTGTAGGCAATTATACTTCCTGATTTTTAAAATACGATATCTCTGCTTACACTAAACTTTCAGCACTGCAACTTTGCAGATGCTGTTCATGCACCAACAGCAACATTACACACTATTTAAAATCAAAAAAGTGAAATCGCAGTCAACTCCCCTTTAAGTACTGAGAAGCACTCAAAGGGCCCTATTTTAACGATCTAAGTGAATGGTCTAAAGCACATGTCACAAGTGAACTTAGGGCGTGTCCGAATCAAAGAATAACACCTTTCTCAGTTGTTTGGAATTCTGGTCTTAGACCGAGTGGTAATAATAATAATAATAATAATAATAATAATTCGTTACATTTATATAGCGCTTTTCTGGACACTCAAAGCGCTTCACATAGAAGGGGGGA